GCGTCTTTTCCACCTCCCACCTGCCCGTCTGGCTCGACAGGAAGATCTTCAAAGACAACATCGCCGCACTCAAGACCCACCCCTCCGGAGACGGCTCCGCGCCGCTCGATCTCCCAGGCCTGAAAGACATGACTCTCAAGGCCGTCGATATCCTCCTCGAGCGCAGCAACGACACGGGCTTCTTCCTCATGTCCGAGGGCGCCTCGATCGATAAGCAGATGCACGCGCTAGACTACGACAGAGCCCTGGGCGACCTCCTCGAATTCGACGACACGATCCGCGCGACGGTGAAGAAGCTCAGCGAGGCAGGGGAGCTCGAGAACACGCTCATCGTAGTGACGGCCGACCACGGTCACGGCTTCGACGTCTTTGGCGTCGCTGATACTAAGTACCTCGCCGCACAGGACACGGACCGCAAGAAGCGCGACGCGATTGGCATTTATGAGCGGTCTGGCTTGTCACAGTATACCGTTTCCCGGCCAGACGGTATCGAGTACGGTACTGGGCCTAACTTCCCGTCCAACTGGAGCCCGCGGTACGCTATTGCGCCTGCGTTCGGTGCCAACCCGGATCGGAATGAGAATTACCAGCTGCATGAGAGCCCCCGTCGGGTGGCGGTGAGCAGTGAGGACGGATACGTTGCGAACCCCGAAGATGGCGAGGATGGTTTCTTCGTTCCGGGTACCATCCCGACGTCATCTTCGTCAGGTGTCCATTCCCTGACTGATGTGCCCGTCTTCGCTATGGGCCCCTGCCAGGAGACGTTTGCGGGTGTGTACGACAACACGGATGTCTTCTTCAAGATTGCTTCTTGTCTTGGGCTTGGACAGTCTTCACCGACACCCAAGAGGAAGTGATTGTATGGGGCGCATGGGTTTCTGAGCCAGGGGGTAAGAAGCACATAATTAGTCGTAGGCAATTCTAGACCAAGTCTGCCTCTCGATGACGGGTATGCAGAATCATCTTGCAGCAATCAACATTTTCCGTTCCAAATTGCAGCCTCTGTGCATCCTTGACCTGCCACACTTCTTCCATGTCTTCTTGCACGCGTCGGAGGGAAGGCAGTTGCCGATTTTGATACATCTCCCTGATCCTGACAAGAACCATTTGACGTAGGTGGGCCTCGACAGATTCGCAGCCGCCAGTCCATAGAGGCCACGCATGAGCAGAGACGAAGGATGATGTGATAGGCACTTTCAATAGGTGGTAGATGCACTGCTCTGCGTAGTATGGCTTGGTCGACGATTCTCCGTCGTCCCAGACTCGATAAAGGTAAACAATCGCCGCGTGTTTGTAGGCTTGGATCGTGTGCTCAATATCAGGATCCCCTTCCTCAGAGAAGCTGAAATCCAATAGGTTTCTTTTGATGACGTAACCCCTCTGCTGGTGCGCTTCGCCGGATTGCCCTTGCATCTTGCTGATGGTACTGACGATGGAGACGACTGAAGTGAGCTTGGCCAGACTATGCAAGCCTTCCAGAGGCGCGACATTCGTCATGCTCAACAGCGGCTTTGATGCGCGAGAAATGGATGACATGACGTCGTGGTAGAAGCAGAGGCTGAGCAGAAACCGGGCGCTCGAAGTATTCCAGTTCACGGGTCCTCCCGAGTGCATGATGACGGCTTTGGCTCCAGCCAGATGATCGATTTGGCTGTCGGTATTGAAGAGGCGGTCCGAAATCTGGAGCATCAGGATGGTGGCCAGCGAGAGCTCCGGGTTCTCGGCCTGAATCGATTCTCGTAAGGATGACAAGGCGACGAGCATATGGCGTGAAGATAGCGTTTTGAGGTTACTGTCATTCCGGAGGATGGCGAGGTGGCCCGCCGCCATGGAGGAGATTGAGAAGAGCAGAGCTGTGGAGCGGAGCATCATGGGCGTGAGGTGGACGAGGAACGGGTTCTGCACACCGGATGCCATCGATATGACACTCGCTAGTGACCCATTCCAATGATGCAGCAAGTAGCGGTTCATTGGGGAGACATCTGGCGATAGATATGACGGATTCCGGATGAGACTGTCTGGGCTCGATGTCGACGTCGCCGTCATCGAGCTGGAGCTAGGCGTGGCGGGCTGCTCATCGCTTGAAGGCGGCGTGACCTTCCGAGGTCCAATACTGCCCTTGGACTTTGGACCTTTCTTCTTTGTAACTCTTCCGCCCTCTTTGGGGTCGTCGGCTGACTTCCATCTCACTCTTAGCCCGTACCCCTTGCATGTCTTGCCCAAGCGGACACAGCGGCCGCAATGAGGCTTTGCTTCGTCGCATTTGTAGCCCTCATCTCTGTCATTGAACTTAGTACCAAGATTCAATCGTCGGAGGATGAGGGATCTTACCGGCATGTGAGGCACCCTGTTCTACTCCTCTTGTGCGGCATCTTCGAGGTGGATTCCGGCACAAACACAGCATGATCTGAGGGGTCGCCGATGGATTGATTCTTCAGCAAAAGTGGGGTTCGACGTCCCCTTTTGCCAGCGGCGTTTCTATTCTTAAGTCCGAAAGTTGGTGATCTTGGCATTCACCAACGACTCATGAGCATGTCTAGTTCCACCAGTTCGGTGAGCAGAAGAATGTGAATCATCATCATCTTGAGAGAGTCTGATCAGTTATGGGTTGGCGATTATCGAGAGACTTATGGCAAGTTTACGGGGAAGACATCCTGGTCCCTAGTGGAATCTGGAATACTGGTCTCGATGCGATTGAATGAGTGATACTAGCTATCTTGAGGTGGGAGAATACTCCTGGGGCGCTCATGATGTCGCAGCATGTGAACGGTTTCCATTGACTTCAGGGTGAAGTTCTTAAGAAGCGCTGCCCACGCTTCCCCTACACATGGTTGTTATGTCCACCACGACGTGCGAAGCCTTTCATCCAGCATCAGTCAGGACGTGGATAAAGTAAGGCAGCAATGCTTGATAACATCGAGATATTTCAACAAAATGAGACCTCAAAAATCTCGGTATATGGAAGTTGATCTTCTCGGCAATCTAGTCCGTAGGGCAAATCTCTCGACTAGCGACGTTGGCATTCAAGCCTGCGGCGAAGTTTATGGCGAAACCCCGTTCACATCTTTCTAACATGCTACGAAACAAACATTGAATCTATGCGCCTTGAAGCTTTAACCTCTGCGCGTTGGTAAAGTCATCATAATTTCGCAGCCTGTGAAGCTGATTGGCGACGGCATATACTTCAATTCTTGTTGAATCCAAGCGATCAGTGCAATCACGCCATAAACCTTTAGAGGTGGGTCACACGCCCGCTGATTGACTTGCAAACTCATCCAATTCACTCATCCTATCAGTTCAGAAAGATGGAAGATATCACAAATCAAAATGGTCTAAATAGTGCCCTTGTCGTCTTGTACGCTTTCAAGGACCAAGCTCGAGGATGGGCCCAATGAAGATGCAAGAGCAGCGAAACCCGGCACAAAGACTTGTTTTTGTACTACAACTGGTATGAACAAGATTTTTTGTCTCGAAGAAAAGTTCGCTGTGCCTGCATAGTCCACGTAATATTCCGAGGGGGAACATATCCCGTTGGGTCGGGTAAGCTGGGCACCAGGCCCGTGGTCTTTGAGCAAGCAAACATACATCATTTGTTTAGGCCAACATGCCCAGTAGCAACGTAGTATCCTCCAATACTGGTAATTAAAGACACCAATTTGCATTGGTTGCAGTTTAGCGGCTCTCATATCACCGCATAGTGGTAGAGAGGATAAAAGGAATCGGCTTAGGGATGGGCATCCGGTTGGTTTTGAGCGATCTTGGCTGCAGCTTTTGATCAGTCAGGGGCCAGGCAGCTTATGTTGCGCATGAGGCCAATCTGGTTTAAGATACTGCCTAACATTGCCAAATTTCATCGACGGGCGGGCCTGTTCCTGCAGTCCAGGATGCGACTCGACTCACATTCGGATCATCCGTCTGTTCCTTCTTCCACTTCCTCATTTCCCTACACATAATGTATCTATGGGAAGAAAAAAATAAATTTGCGGCACTATCCAACATAATTGACTTCTCCTTATCTATTCATTTCATCTCCATGGCTTCTGCATGGGATATTTTCTCCGAGCCAGCTGCGTACTGGAACACCTCTGATGTAGCCTGGATCCTCCTGGACGTACTTAGGATGGTCTTAGAATGTAATTTCGGGCTTTTCGAGATAAAACTACTATTTAGAAGCTACTACTGGGAATTATGAATTACCATACTCCGAGTAGTCGGCAAAGACATGAGCTCTTCCACTCATGTGCCCTTACCAACACTTCTGTCTTGTGGCCCCTGTTTACCCAGGAACAGGTTGCCACCAGAACTCACCCCGATGCTCGGTTAGCAAATTTGTACAGGGTTTAAGGTTATTCTTTGACAAGCCGAGTGAAATGTTCGCATGTTTGGCGATTTGAAAGGGTTGATTTGGATATCCATAATGTTTGCCATCTACCCCTGCCAAAATACTTTATGGCATGCACTTGATCTTTTCAGGCAGTTTGCCAATCGCGTTGGTTTGCTCGGGTTGATGACCCGGCCGAATATGGACTAGTAGACTACATTCAACAATGAAGATGAATGTGAAGCACGGAAACTGAAGGCATATCAAGCAGGGGCATGATATTCTCTCCAATCGCCGGTCATCATCCAACACCATTACCTTTCACTCGCAATTCAAATGCCCTTAAGTCGTCCCTTGCAAGACTATGGCGGCAATCAGCATCCGTACCTTCCTCTTAGATCTGGAACTGGTGTTTAGTGGCCCTTCAAGTTCTATCATGTTTGCGATGTGACGCGGAGAGTAAATCGATCCATTGCAAGGGGGAATAGGAGCTGTTCTCGCAGCCAGGCTCTAGATACGCCACCGTAGGAAGTTCCTCGTGATAAACTGAAGCAATCCCGCAATCTTCTTTCCAAATATTTGAGACACATTTGTGTTCCATGGTTCGTGCTCGTTTCCCATGTTCTTTATCTAGTATGCGCCGACATCTTCACCGCACACTGCCGGAATACAACCCACTATGTCGAGTCCAGAAAAGGGTTCCGAAGCTTGGAAGGCTCAGGACAAAGGCCCGGGCATCATTACAGTTTGCTGGATCTTCACCGCTCTGAGCACATTATTTGTCCTTGGCAGAGTAGTAGTCAGGTGGAAGATCATGAGAAAATTCCACAGCGATGATTATTTTGTTATTGCAGGGCTGGTATATTCTATAATTCTCTTCACACCGCCGTTTGGGACGATTCCTGACAATAGCAGGTGTGCGGCTACATTTCCACTTCGCTCTCGACACTTGCAGTATACTCTGGTATTGGCAAACACCTAGAGCTGCTCACTCTGGAGCAACAACAAGATGGCATGTTGTGGACGACTGCTGCCCAATGCCCCGGCATCATGTCTTTCGGCCTACCTAAGCTGGCAGTAGTATCACTTTTGACACGACTCATGAACCCTGGCGTATACCATAAGTGGTTCCTGTGGTGGATGGGAATATGGTGCCAGTTGACACTTTTCGTGACTGTTGGACTTCTGATAGGGCGATGCACACCAGCAAGCTCATTGTGGGACTTTTCCATCCAGGGGACCTGTTTCAGTCCGGACATTCTAATCAACTTCTCGATTTATGCAGGCAGTAAGTCGTTAGTGATGGCATTATTGCTCTCGAACTGACTAGAAGTACAGCATTTTCGGCCTTCGTTGATGTCTACCTAGCTGTGTACCCGTCCATCAGTCTATACCGCCTTCAAATGCCGATTAAGAAAAAGATTGCACTGTCCAGCGCTCTTGGCATTGGCGCAATGTAAGCAATGTCGAAAAGTTGCGTTCACTCTTAACTTCCGATTGACGATATCCTGCCACAGTTCAGGCATTGTCGCCATCTATAAGACGACACGCCTCCCTTTGCTCGCGAGTGAAGACTACTCGTGTAAGACCTGTACCCACCATTCAGATGTCCAGGGTACCATTTTGCTAACTGAGGTTCCTCCTTTCCAATAGACGAGACACCTGACCTAGTAGTTTGGACAGTGTAAGTCGCAGTCGGCGTCTCGGCTGTGCAGAGTCGCAGCCCGTGGCGGTGATCAAACCCTTCTAACTAGAGTTTACAGGATCGAAGGCAGCACCATCATAATAGCAAGCTCCATCCCTGTCTTGCATCCGCTCCTAGAGCTGATCCTCAAACGCAATCCCTTCTCGTCCGCAAGAGCATCCAGGCCAACGGCAAAATCCTCCGACAATAACACGGGATCAGCACCGAGTAACTATCGGCCCTCACGCGTGTACGGAAACTACGAATATGAGCTAGGCCAACGCAAGGCGAAACCAAAGCCCAGAGATGATCTCGGATTCACCATTGTTGAAGGGGAAAGTCAAGAGAACATCGTTTTCGGAGAAGGTAGATCGCGAGCTCAAACAGCTACGTCTATTGGCAGTCAATGTAGTCAGCCTGAGGAGGGAAGGATTGTCCGTACCGACGTAGTCACTGTATCCTACAATGAGAATGGACGAGCAGGAGAGACGTCGGCTTCAAAGCGATGGAGACCTGTCTGAAGGAAAGATTTCTGTAGGCTCTATTGCCTCAAGTCATGAGGGCCGTGGAACCTTGACTCATTAGAAAAACAACCTGTGCGGGTAGTAATAATTGGTATAGTAATTATTTAAGTGTCAGTCTGCGTTGTTCATGGGTTCTGCATTCTGTTTTCCTCTGCACTGGAAAGGATACTACCGCCATCATAATGTACGCTGAATTTATCATTGTTCCAACATCCAAAAGGTCAAATTTCGATGCAATGCCGGCAGTATTCGAACCAGATGATATCGTTGGAGATTCGCATGATCGCGCAGTTGCGGCGACTCAATCACAATCAAGCATTGTGAGACCATGTTATCCATGCCCATCAGCAAGTGGTCTTATTCAAAGAGAAACAGCGGCCTGGAACCGGCTGAAAGATGTGCAACTAAGAAAGTTGTCGGATGACTGGTATTGAAGTACACCTAGTAAGAGGCAAACTCGTTCCGAATGAAGGCCTGGCGAGGATCAACATCGCCCAAGCCCCAACCGCCCAGCTCCCATGATTTGAATGATTAAGAAGTAATTTGGACAAAGCCGCTAAACGCCGTTGCCCATAAGTCGTCTCCCGTGCACCATCGCTTCCCAATATATCGACCAATTGGAATGGAGTTCTCTAGCAAGCGCCTTGTACGGCCTGAAGTAGTGGGTCAGCGTAATTATTCAAAGCTGTGTGAGATTGAAAGTACATACCATTTGCTGGTTCTCCATGTTCTTCTTAATACCACCAGAGAAATCCATCATAAGTGACTGGACGACGGGCATATCTTGTGCGGGGTTGCCGGTAAGACCAGCAACCTTTTGCAACTCAGAGAGCTGGGCGTTGGCGACCTTGGCTTCAGGTTAATACGGGTATTCATAGGTTGAAAGGGGTTCCAGTCACTTACAACAGCGAGTCCCTGGGTGGCCATATTGCCAGAGGGAGCGATAAGCTGGTTGGCCTGTCTGACCTGGATACCGTCGCTGACGAAAGACAGGAGGTTGGACTTGGCGGTCTGGAACTGCTGGGGGTTGGGAGGGTTGGCCTGAAGAGCCTGCATAACGGCGTTGACACCGTTAACCTCCTGTTGCTGGACCTCGATGTTCAAGGCGATGCCACCAGCCAGAATCTTCGCCTCGGCGCAAGCGGGGGTATCTCCGGCCGCCGGGGCGGGAGGGGGAACGGGGGCGGCTCCTCCGTTCATCTGGGCAACGGCCAGGGTGGCGAGGGACAGGACAACAGCGTAGGCCTTCATTGTGACGGTTGGTTGTGATTTACGATTATTCGATAAAGATTGTATATAGTTGAATTAAAGTTGGTGGAGCCTGTCCGAGGGCGAGTAATGACCGTTTGCTGCAGTTGACGATGTTGTCCTATTGTCCGAATCCAGATCCAGTGTAGAGGCAAAGAATAACTTGAGAAAAGGCCGGGCGGGCATCTGGTCTTATAAGTCTAAACGGCGAGACGCACACTATCTAAGCCGGCCTCAACTTCACGAAGCAAAATCATGAGATGAGGCCGCTCCCCTGCGGGCTGTCCAACAGGAAGTACGAAGGCGGGCCAGCAATGGAGGTTGAAACTTCCGGATGATAGACTTTCTAGAGTGTTTTGGGGCGGTCGCCGAGTCGCTGTGCTGCTTGTTTCGAACCTTGATAACGTTGGGACGAAGGAAGGATTTCCCTGATTGTCCATCTGCACAGACGATGCATTGAGGTGCAGGGTATCAGAGTAGCCACACAGCCCACGAATCACGTCTTCGGGTTCTCCCTGTCGGCAGCTCATCCCTTCCCCCTTCCCCTGGCCGCGACTCAGTAGGGCAGAGAAGGGAGTCCGAACATGTTGAGGGGCCATGGTTTGCTTGAACAGAGCCGCCGACGGCACCCTACCAGACGTCACAACTTCACGTCTCGGACCTCGAACTCTCTTTGGAAATGGTGGCCATCCTTTCCCGCCTCGCCTGGTCTTTTGATCCCTTTTTCTACCGTCTTCTTGGGGCATCTTTGGCCACATGGTTACTCGTGCCGGCTTGCAACATGGCCACATCCATGACTCGTCTGATGGACGTTTCTTCTGCCCAAAAATCCCCTTACTCAAAACAGCCATGCTCCCGAGAAGCTTAAAGGACTTGTCCGCAGCTACAACAGGCTAAGCTTTGGGTTAGTCATCTCCCGTCATTAAGAAATATTACACACAAATGGACGTTCAAATGGTGGCACCATCCTGTCCAAAAAGGATTGGATGGCAGTTCAGACACCCGTCCTCAAGAACTGCAGGTTGGCGGTCTAATTCGTTTCGTGCAGCGCTCCCTGTCTCTTTCGCACTCGAAAAGATAAGACAATGGGGTTCGCATCCTGGTTTACTTGGTCCAGCTTCTACAGCACACGGACAACTGACAAAGGCCAGCCATTGTCACAGGCCGTGTTAGTGCCAAGTATAGCCCCCTCGCTCAGTTGCCTAACATGTGTGCTCAGAGCGACTTGTGAAGCACTCTAGCGGGCCTTGGGATTCGGTTGTTGCCCCCTCCGATTCGCGCCCACCTCGCAACTTCTCCTCGGCCTCCCACACGGGACGCATGGGAAAACGTTTCCTCGGATTTCAGCAAACCTTCGCGTGGCTTATCCCATTCATTTGGCTCCCGTTCAAGATGCCCCTACGCCGTCGGGTTTGCGGGATGAAGCCCGTTCTCTGGATCTTCTGCGCGCCATCATGGGCTCTTATGAGGTTCGCTCCTGTTTCCAGGGACGCTAATTAACATACATTTCACGCTATGATTGAGCAGAATATCTTCAATTCGGGGGTTGTCCGATCATGTTATACGCTCTGCTTGGTGCATCATGTTCCATTACGCCATCTTGACACGGGCATCGCTTAGATATGTCAAGTATTCCTTAAAAGAGTGAATATTATGTCCCTTCGCACGCCAATGAAACCATGATGTCTTCAAGTGCCCAGGATTTGCGTGCCCAGCATGATGCGCGAACAGTTTTCTCGGCGCATCTTGGCAACAGGCCGATCCCGATTGCCAAGCTAGTTGCAAGCGGTCGAACCAGAGACACGGGTACGAAACAGCATGACAGAAAGACGCGACAAGTGTAAGCGCGCGTGATTCTAGAGGTGGCATTCGCGCTACGTTATAGCCCATCATAAGTGATGCCTGACTCGGCCGGGCTGTGCTGAGGTGAAAGCGCTGGCGGAACCATTGCAACCGATGGCACAGCAGTTTACCTAAGTGAGCACACCTCGACCGGATTGAGGCCTGTGAGACGAAAGCACTGTTCACAGTCAGGGTGGGTAAACAATGCTAAGACGGAAGTCCAAACAAATTGTGAGTGATATCCAGGTTTGCCAAACTCTACGAGACTGGCCACCCGCTGGATGAATGAAAGTGACAAGCGAGGAAAACGAGGCGACGAGCTCCGACAATAAGCTCAAGCTTGTGGGGATTCCGCACCCTATGACGGCTATGCAGCGGAATCAGGAGGGAGGGTAGCAACAGGCCATTTTCCCAGCCCTTTCGTCTGAAGATTGCATAAAGGGAAGGTTGTCTTCAAGAGTGGTGTCTCGAGTGTGAAGTATCCAGTTGCCTGAGGTCTCGCCAGCCAGCGGGGGCTTTGTCAAATGCGACTCGACAGGGCAGCCTGGATGAGATGTCCTGAACGTGCAGCTAGGGGCAAACCTAAAGGCCCTGTTGTAGAGTATTCCCCCTGAGTTAGCGTAGGGGATCTGGGAGATAAACCTCTTGACGCTAGGATTCCTCAGCATCACGAAGGGAAGAGTTCAGTCTGTCAGAGGTCGATTGAACTAGTCGTGTCCTAGATCCATCTTCATTTCTCTCTTCATATCTTACAGCAACGGTGCGACCGCACGCCTGGGATTCAACCAACTAATGAGAACAGCCCACATTCCGAACAAGTAAGTTGACAGACTTTCCGATATTTGGGATGGAAAATGCGTTCAAATCAGCCGCAAGATAAGATAAACAACGGCTAAAAGGTCGTCAAAAAGTCCGCCGACAATAAAGCGAAGAGGAAAGATGTTCCGGATGTAAGCCAATCGCTACCAGTCTCAGGTCCCCTTCGGATCCGCGACTGTGCATCTGCGGTGCGGGGAGCGGGGAGCTCGGAGTTCGGGTATCTCAGGCACAAATCCATGTGGGACAGGGATCTCATCGTTTGATCGGAGCCAGTTGGTCTGCGTTGGTGCGTGCTGTGGACGTGTGCCTGGCGAAGGTCCGGCCTGTCCCGCGCGTCGCCCATTCGATGCTGAGGTAAGATAGACGGGTAGTCCTGATTTCAATGCCGGTTGAGTAGACGTTTCTGTCAAAGTCAATTTCGACCGCGAGGTGCGTCGACCACAGCCTGGCAAGTCAAGCGAACCCTGAGAGCCCCAAGCCTATGGTTGGAAAGCTCCTGATTGATGAGTTGATGAGGACCGGACACCTTGGCATTCCATCGTTGCGATCAACGGCCGAATCACTGTGCGGCTCATTTAAGTGTGGAACAACCAATGTCTTTTTTTCACATGATCGCCCACTCATGACATTTACCATACACCTCGTGACGAAAGTGATGCCGGATAAAGCTATCTAGCATAGCAGCATGATGCGATGATAATTCGCGCGACACGTGAGGACTGCACAAGATTGAAGAACGTCTTTCTTTGAAGCATTCAACAGGCAGAGGGTTTGCATAGCGTATTTACAAGCAGGGAAGACTCTCGGATTAGGCAGAGAATTGCATATGGTTTGTTGGTCTCCAATTGTGTGCTGAATGCCTGCAGTGAGTAGATGTGAGTAATAAGCTTGGGTGAAAGTACACGTTTAGCAACCTCTTTGACTTATTTTCTGCAATTACAATGAGGTCGAGAGCAAGTTGAGAGATAGTATTTTGCATTGAAGTAAGCGGAAGGTATATATGTCATTGGAAATAACTTGATTCCTTTAGGTCAGGGACCCTCAAGGAATCACAAATATGTAGTACTTATGTACTTGTGCAAGACCAG